AAATTGTATTGATGAGAACCGGAGGTAGAAACAGGCTGTGCAGTTTAGTTTAAAAAGACCCCACAGAAAGGAGACCTCTTTCTGTTTCTTGCCACTCCCCTCATTGCCAGGGACCAGAGATGCCAGAGTGTTTGAGAGGCTCTCATACCTGATCTGGTTCTTCAATGATTTTAGGGTTATCTCTTCCAAGGGAGACATGTAAGAGTAGCATGGAAGATGGGCTAAGATAAAACCCCTTCTGGTCAGGAGACTGGAATTTCTGGCTTGGGTGGAGACCTAGCATTCCATCTGAGGGGGTCAACCACCAGGCCAAGGGCTCATGCCTAGGAAGCCAAGCTAGAGACAGGTGGACTATTTAGTCCTTTCCTGAGGTGATGTAGTCTTGGTTTCCAGAATACCTGCCCCTGTTGCAGTAACTCACCCAGCAGCAACCATGAAGCTCACGTCTGACCACCCATCCAACTTTGTCTCTTTCTTTTCTCTTTTCCAAGCATGCTTTCTCTAACACTTTGGGCCCCCTTCTCATCAGGAGACTGTTTGTCCTCCATGTATCTGACCTCCAGGCTGGCTCACACAGCATGGCTTTTTCATCCTTTTCTCCATTGCCCTTCTTGTGACAGCTACTGAGACTTGCAGCTTGCCTGCCTTGGGTTTTGTTGTTCTTGTTTTCCTTTTAAACATGAATAAAATAGTTCTTGAGCCTAAACAAAAAATTCTTTGCAAATGCTACTGAAGAAGGCAAATGTAGCAATATTAATACTAAATAAGAGAGATTTCAAGTTAAGCACCAAGTAGAGGAGCTGGTAGTATTTTATACTTACACGCAGTACAATAGTAACGTATTAATCAACTATTATTTACCTAAAATATATTTTTAAAATTTACACAGCAAAGGATAGATATATTTTTTAAAAAGAATACCTGACAAATTAGTGTTTATATGAGAAATCAATAGATCAAGTTCAACACCATGTAATTGTATCCTTCACAGAAGAAGATGAGATTTGCTGGATCTGCAACATTCTGGAATATTGCAATATTCCACAAAAACTAGGAAAACGACGTTCTAGACATCATGACAAATATGATTGTGTGGAAAGCAATATATATGGGAAACAAATGTAAAAACCAGGCTGGGGCTTAGAAGACAGTGCCGTGGATAAAGCCCCGGAGCCCCAAGCATGAAGATTAGGATAACATCCGCAGAAACCACGTAAAGGCAGATGTGGTAACACATCTGTGGCAAGAGGGAAGACAGACATGTTAATTCCTAGAATCCCATGACCAGTTAACTTGGCATATGCCATTGTAAACAAGAGACTTGCTTCAAAAAAGGAAGAAGGCAGGAACACTGGAGGCTGTCCTCTGAGATCCACACATGTCCTTGGTGTATATGAACCTACACACACACACACACACACACACACACACACACACACACTACAAATACAAAGACAAACTGAGGGTTGTCCCATAAAATGCTGATACACACTCATCAAAAATGCTCAGGCCATGACAAACAAGGACCGACATTAAGCCCCATTGCAAATAGAGGACACAATCTGACTGAAGGCAATAAGGAACTTCACAAATAAGACATTAGTGTAAAAAACTAGTGAAATCCTGACAAAATCTGGAGTTCAGTTCAAAGCAATATATTAATTTTGGTTTCTTAGTTCTTGAAGTTTATTCAATTTTATTTATCATTATTGTGAGTATGATGAGTATCTACAGGTCCACTCATGCCATTGCACACGTAGAAGTCAAAGAACATCTTTGTGCAGTCAGCTCTCTGCCCCCAACTTTATACAGTCTTGAATTCAGGTATTCAGGCTTCCAAGGCATGTGCCTTTACTGGCTGAGCCCAGCTTGAAGGCCCTAGTTTCTCTGTGTGATCTGGAGCACAAGATATTTAGAAAGGGAAAAAATGGTTACAGAGTATGCAGGGACTCCTATGTTATCTTCACAATGCTCCTGAAATCTGAAATTACTTTAAAGTATGATGGTAGTTAGCAAAACAAGCTCGTGAAGCAGTCTGAGTTCAGGTAATGGTGACCAGATCATTCCTCCTGAAATAATCCTGGAACAGAGTCCCGGACATTCTTGAAGCCATCAAATCTTTTCTGCTTACTTTGCTTGTCTTTTCATTGTCTTAATGTTCCTGCAAGCATTTTAATTTAATTCTCCAGGGATAGGAAAAGAGCTAGTGATCAATGGGATTTAATTTGAAAGCTTAATGTAAGTTTTTTCCCATCCAGGTGAGTTCTGCTCCTAATTAAACAATCTGAAATTATGAAGCTTATGAATTCTGCCACAAAATAATAGGTAGAATGATTTTATTATTACTGTATCATAAAACATGAGCATCAGATATAAACTCGTTTTTTTTTTTTTCAGAAGCTACCAGACTAAACCATGAGGCACCAAAATGAGTTTTTAAATTTGAACTCACAGTTTTCATTCTAGAACTTTCAAATATATGTGATACTATTTCATACTATCATTTTTTTCTACAAAATCAAAAGAAAAAATCTGCAGCTGGGAGGATTTTTTAAGTTTTGTGACAAAACAGGATGGAGAATGGCAGGTTTCTTTTTTAATTAAAAGGTTAATTGATTAGCCAGGAATGCCTTTGTAAAGCTGTTCTGACAACAAAGGAATTACTAAACTATTTTTAAAGTATGGTATATTAACTGTGTGGTAATATTGACAATTTGCCTATTTTGATTATCTTTTGGAAGTTGTTTTTTAGAAGTTGGCTGATCGACATTGTATAATGCCATCTCATGTTTTTCCAGAAACTAGAGGAAATGAGTGGGGATTAACTTGAATGATGGAATGTCTTAGTTATTTTTCTATTTCTGTGAAGAGACAGAATGACTAAGGCAACTTATAAAAGAAAGACTCTATTTAGGGGACTTGCTTACAGTTTCAAAGGGTGAGTCTATGGCCATCATGGTGGCAAGCATGGCAGCAGACAGTCAGGTATGGCCCTCACTAGAGCAGTAACTGGAGCTCTGCAAGCAGCTGATCTAGAAGCAGGAGGCAGAGAGAGAGAGAGACACTAGGCTTGGTGTGGGCTTTTAAACCTCAAAGCCACACCGACTCCAATAAGCCACACCTACTCCTCCTAATTCTTCCCCAAACAGTTCCACCAACTAGGGACCAATTATTCAAATATATGTGTCTATCGGGCCGTTATTATTCAAACCACCACATTCTGAAAGTATTTAGGAGTATGTAAATAAAAAAGCAAAATGTTTGAATTTGGATGAATGTAGCTTGAAACAGGAATAAATTGGCTTTGGTTTTAATTTTTATGCTTTTCATTTTCTTGTAGAATGTGCTGAAAAGCAAACCTGCCCATTGTGTACCAAAGACAGGAGAGTAAGTTAATTTTCTTATGAATAAATTGTCCTGGGAATGTTATAAGCTCACACATTTACAGTTGTCATCTGAAAGATGTGTTAAGTTTTGTTTCCTATACTTTTATAGCAAAAATGAATATTGATGGCTATGAATATATGTCCCTTTACTATAAACTTTCTTTGTGGATCTAGAATAAATAATGGAAATATTTTAGTACAAACATGTACTTCCGTCTGGGAAATCATACATCAAAAAGAAAACAAGTTTTTGCTTAACAAAGGAAATCACACCAAAAAGTTGGAATAAGTTTTATAGGTAAAGGAAAGATATAGCTTTTGAACTATGGCAAATATATACATATATTGCCATTTCTAATCTCTAAAGAGTAGGAAGAATGACAGACAATCCTTAACCTCAGTGTAACTAAGGTTTCCCTCTCTGATGATTAAATGTATTTTATTATAGTATTTTACTTCCAACTTTGAAGAAAGCAACAAACAAACAAAAACCCCAACAGTGATGAAGTAAATATCAATTTGTACACAGCTGTGCAGCACCACTAAACCATTCAGATCTGACCTCTCTTGATATCACTGACAAGGAAAATTGGCTGATAACAAAGTGACACAATCTGGTGATGGTATCTGTCATAGTGATCTGGACATGTATTATCTGCTTCTGCTTTTCTTTTGTTCTAATGAGGACCTGGGCTTCCCACTATGTTCCTGGCTTTCCTCAGACAGCACTGACTCAGACACACACTGTCTCCGTGTCCACTTCCCTAACTCCAAGGCTGGGATAACAGGGATAACACAACACTCTGAATTCTGAAACACCTGTGGTGCTTCACCTGAATCCATTCCCCCACCTTGTTGTTCATTGTTTTGCAATGTAAAATTTTAAACATAAAGTAGAGGAAACATACCTGGGGACTATGATGCGAGCTCCTTGTCCTTCCTATTTAGAAAGCTGAGGTGGGGGATAGCTTGAGTCCAGGAATTAAAGACAAGCTTACACAACTAAAAAGAACCATGTCTTTAAAAAATATTATAGGAGATAGTATAATAAAACTTTATACCACTAAAGATCATCTTGGGAAACTTTGTCTCATAAATGTCCCCTCTTTCCAAGTAGATTACTTTGAAGTGAATAATTATATGGATATCATTTTGTTTGTACATATTTGACCCTCATATATGTCTTCAATAAGGACTTTAAAGTATCGTATCTATAATCATATTTAGAAATCAGCAACTAATTACCCAGCTTTTTGTTTCATGGTAATGCTTAAATCAGATCCACATGCTGTAATTGGTTGATACATACCTTAAGTCTCTGAGTCTATACATTCTTTTTTCTCTCTTTCTGTTATTGCAATGTATTTGTTACAGAATAGATTGTTGTCCTGATGAGCTCCCTATAGGCTGGGTTTTGCTGGTCACATTCACAATTCTACGATGGCCTTGTCATGTTGTTGTTTCCCTTTCCCTGTTTTTATAAGGTTGTAACTAGACATAAAGGACTGATGAGATTCTATAGGGGTTTTTGGCAGCAACATCTCATGCCGAAGACTTATTAGAAAGCTGATAAGACTGTGGTGTAGCCTTTGGTGATGTCAGCAGTAAATAACGTTTTCTTTACTTATATCCATTGTATCCTCAGGGGCTACAAAAGCTACATTAATATACCTGCCTCCCTGTTTGAAGCCACTTACACCGCCCAGCTCTGACTGGTCCTGTGATCTTTCTATGCTTCAGTGCTATGCATTAATAGCTGATTACTGCACAAGCACATTGCATCAAAGCCCTCATTAATACAGCTACAATGGTCACCTGATCCCAGATACTGCCTATTATTTGCGCTTTTGATTAGCAGCATTTCCTAAGAATGGCCATACTAATAAGTCCAGAATGTTATAACCATCCTTAAGATGCCAATATTCCCCCTCACCCCTCCAATCCCAAAAGGTAACTTGATCTTTTGCTTTTCTAGACAAAAATAGAGACTTTGGGTATTAACTTCACTCACCAAATTGAAGGTGAGGATGTAATTATATCACTAAACCCAAGAAAAATGATAAATGGGTGTTTATTGGGGAACAATTAAACACAGACAAATACAAAGAACTGCTGGAGAGTTTCCCTGCCAGATCTGCTGACCCACCAGAAAGAGCACACAGACGAAAGCCATGCCCCAAGTTCTTCTCTTTCTGCTTCTGTCCCCCTGAAGCCACACAGGTCCACAGACCAGCTGCCTACACCAAATTATAGAATGTCTGTCATTTTTATTCAAAATTACATATCCTTAATGTTTTTCCTTAAAGGATTAATATCCCCTGCAGTTTGGCCATACTTCTTTTAGACTTACAACTTTGCAACTTTAAATTTTCTTTCATATGACATATATATTTTTACTGTCATATTTCCTCTGTTCTCAGTTCCCCACAAACAAAGTCAGTGTTTTATTCACTGTTTTATCAGTACACTGCACACATTTCCCAGCACACATTTCTAGTTATTGAGTGGGAAGCATTCAATAACTATTGAGTTAACTCTTAAGCTATTAGAAGAAGCTTAAATTACATTCAATACATTCTAATTTAACAAGGTAGAGAATTTTATCTTAACACATTTCTACACATAAACCATTATGACATGTCCGGAGATGTGCATATTTGAGGATAATGTGAAAATGATTCTCTCTATCTTATAGGAATTAATGAAAGGATAAGTATGCATGGTCAATGTAGAATTAGAAGGTTGTCTTCTGAACAAAGAGTCTCTGTAATAACTGGAAGGACAGTGACTTTCATCCACAGATTTTATCACTTCCCACACTTCCCTATATACTTTATAGGTGGCTATTCCTAAAGCAACCAATAACATTTGCATTCTCCTTGGATGCAACAGATTATTTGTCATATCTTGAAACACCCTACTTTATGTCCATTTACCTCAAGAAAATTGTCACACCAGCACCTAATTTCCTCCTAACATTATACTTTGGGTTTGTATAGTGTGTATTCTTAGGTGAAAGAAAATCTTTAGATTCTGTCTGAATATTTTCCTTGTAGTCTAATAGCAAAGACCAGCCTTCCTAGAATTAGAAAATATTCTTGCCCAAAACAAATCCATAAAAAGAAACTTATTTAAAACCTTACCCTCAACTTACTAGTCATAAACACAGCATATGAAAAAGAAAATCTGGGACTAGGGAACTGGCTAAGTGAGGAAAGTGCTTGCACTGAAGCATGAGGAACTGAGTTAGGAAAAAGCCAGACATGGTGGCATGATTTATAATCTTAGGGCTGGAGAAGCCAAGACAGGTAAATCCCTGGGGCTATCTGGCCACTTAACCCAGCAAAATTGGCCATCCTGGGGCCTGTGAGAGGTCCTGTGTCAACAATAAGGGGGGTGCCTACTGAGGAATAAGGGGAATGCCTACTGAGGAATAAGGGGGATGCCTACTGAGGAACAACATCTAAGCTGATTCCTGCCCTTCACATGCATACACACACTCAAACTTTGAATGCACTCTCTCTCTCTCTCTCTCTCTCTCTCTCTCTCTCTCTCTCACACACACACACACACACACACACACTCATGCACTCACACACCACCAAAATGTTGATATATTTCTTCCATTAAAAGTAAAACCTCAAAAACCATGCCAACTAAAACAAGTTAAACATTCTTTGCTTGTCTTTTGTTGCTATTTAGAGTTTTTTGTGCCACTGTTGATTCTTTGAAATGATAGTTCTCAATCATGATGTCACAATAGTGAGATTGTTCCTGACTAAGGGAATAATAAGGCTGAATTTTGCAGTGGATTAAAAAAATAACTCAGAGTAGATTATAGGTTGTCTCTACTATCAAGTCTTCTCATTCATTGCATCCTGATATGAATTATTGTTCAGGACAGAAAGGAATGACATTACATAAAGAGAAAGGGGACTTGTAAATCTCTCTCATGGCCTCACTTATGTGTTGACTAGTTCACATGGAAAGACTGTTATCATATGATTGTAAAACCAAATGCATTTATGAATGGTGGGCATACTATATTTGTCTTTCTGGTTTGGGGTTACCTCATTCAGGATGTTTTTTTTTTCTAGTTCTGTCTATTTGCCTGCGAATTTTAGGATGTTATTGTTTCTTACCACTGAGTAGTACTCAACTGTGTAAATATACCACATTTTCTTTATCCATTCTTCAGTTGAGGGCCATCTAGGTTGTCTCCAAGATCTATCTATTATGAATAATGTTGCTATGAGCACAGTTGAACAAATGTCCTTGTGGTGTGAATGTGCCTCCTTTGGGTATATGCCCAACAGTGGCATTACAGAGTCTTGTTCCCTAATTTTCTGAGAAATCATCACGCTGATTTCTACAGAGGCTGTACAAGTTTGTACTCCCACCTGCAATGGAGGAATGTTCCCCTTTCTCCACATCCTCTCCAGCATAAATTGTCATTGGTGTTTTTGATCTTAGCCATTCTGATCAGTGTAAGATGAAATCTCAGAATGGTTTTGATTTGCATTTCCCTGATGACTAAGGATGTTGAGCATTTCCTTAAGTGTCTTTCTGGCATTTGAGATAGTTGTGTTGAGAATTCTCTGCTTAGATCTGTACCCCATTTTTTAGTTGGATTATTTGGTAGTTTGATGTCTAGTTTCTTGAGTTCTTGGTATATTTTGGAGATCAGACCTCTGTCAGATGTGGGGTTGGTGGAGATATTTTCCCATTCTGTAGGGAGCTGTTTTGTCTTGTTGACCGTAACATATCTTTTGATTTAAATTCTGAAGTCAAGTTATTTTTAAAATTATATGTATATATAATTTTTATATTTTATATTTTATATATTTTATAAATTTTATATTTATAATTTAAAAATATATGTAATTTTAAAATATATAGGTTGGTTTAATCTAGCAGCTTTCGTAACCAAATGTCTCTCAGCAGTTATCATTTGTTTATTGGCAGTATAAACATTTAAAGACAACACAGTCCAGACTCTGT